GGTAACTCCTTTAACACCAAGAAACATTAAGACTAGATGTCCTGTGCCTCAGGACAGTAGAAGGAGGAAGGAAAAGGATGTTTGCTTAGTTGAAATTTTCACAAATTTCATAGGGCACAATTACATAGCACCTTGCCATCTAAGAATTTAACACACTTCATAAGCAACTAATTAAGCATCACAACACCTATAAGGCGAAGAGGATAAGTTGACACAGCTGGTCGAATATCCTGACACTCAGCCAAAGCGCAACTTTGGTCATTTTTAAGGGGAGAATTTTTGGTGTTAGAACATAATTAAATCAGAAAACTAGTTAAAAATGTTACAAAGCTGAAAGCAAATGGACTGTTTTGTTTCTGCAAATGGTTTAGTTCAAGTTGTCAAGGTGTTTAAAGAACTTTGAGATCAGGTTAATGTTGTTGAGTACGAGACTCATGAGAATTATGTAAAGGGGAGAAGAGAGGAAACTGTCACTTTCACCGCACTTGGATGCCAGCCCTAAAATAAGCTTCTTGAAACAGTTCATCAAAGGAATTTCAATGACAAAGCCAACCTTTATCCCTTCACAGAGGACTTCAAACCTCTTTTTACGGCACAGAGATTACTATATTTGGCCAAACCCAGATAACATTAAAGCCATTATCATTGCAGTGAGATACTATAAATAGCAATAGTAATGTAAAACATTTAAAATTCTGCCTGGTAAGCACGCTAGATAAACAATATTATCTATGTGTATTTTAGGGTTTGTCTATCAGGCATAATCTCATTCATGATAACGTGAACCAATTTAGTTACATAATTCACCTTGTTGTTTACCCAAAATTACTTGCATAGTCTTGGGAACTCCTTTCCTGATTGCATTTGACAATAGACTTTATATTTAACACACACATGTGGGAAAGGTCAGATCATGCTCTAAGGTTGTGGATTTGTCAATGCTAATTCTCATTCAATAAATCAGGATGGGAAACCGGTTCATTCTCTGTTAAAAGGTGCTGTTCATTTGCATCAAAAAAGCGTGTATTAACCCCCAACCTCTTCATCTTAGTTTCGTCATCACCCTAAATTCTTCAAAGTACATAATCCTGAAACAAATTTTGCTGCCAAAAAATGACAGGAAATTCCATTTTAATTGTGGATAAATTAGTCTCTGAACTTTACTTTCCATAACAATAAGCAGGAGATTATGAACTCATTCACAGGAAGTCCTGATAAGGCTCTAAAAAGATTTGCTTTTACCCATTCAGGTCAGAAAGACCACTGTATTTTGCATAAAAACATCAGCTTTCCCTGAACAGAGAGATAACCCACCCTCTAAAAGAAGCGTAACATAGTCAGCAATATCATGGCAAAACTGCCTCATATTAAAGGATCATGGCTGTGTTTTACAGACCTACTACTTGTACCTGAGGAAGATGTCTTTTCTACATAGGTTTTAAATTCTTTTTTTTTTTTAAAAAAAAAGCATGTAACCTTTTTAAAAGAAAAAAAGAAGCATGTAACCTAGTATCTAAACCCAAGCATATCACAGCAGAATGGGACATTTAAAGGCTCCTCATTTTAAAACAGAAAAAAATACCCCACACGGTAACTTAACATAATTTTAGAATAGCATTTTCTGCTGGTACAATGGTTTGGGTTTGTTTTTTAATTAAAATTAGAGGTGGTCCCAAAAGCCCAGACCCAATCATCCCTGAAAATTAAAATATTTAATCTTGTCTGGAACAGAATTTAGTAAACCACTTCTCCCACACAAAATGTCAAACCAGGATAAGTGCATGAAGCCTGCGCCTCCCGAGTTCAAACGGCCAAAGTTAAACCTGGACGGATGGAAAACTCCAGTGTCAGTGAGACTCATTATTTCCACGTTGACTGTGAAATCGGTCAGCAAGCTCATCCTGAAGATCCAGTAATAATGAAGATCTCATGCTCCAGGCATTACGATGGCAAACAAACTTTCAAATCAATGACTAGTGAAAACTCCCACCGATTATACTTTCATATATAATCTACCTTTTTAACTAATCTGGGAGAGCGGGGAAAAAAGAATCACTGGATACAGCTGATGGAGGAGGGAAACCCGCACCCCTGTGCAGACACACAGACCTTCCCACTTCTACGAACTGCGGAGGAAATGCTACTGCTCATAAATCATCAACAGGAAGCCAGATTCAATGGCTGGGCACAGCACCCTTGCACTGACAACATACTTCTCAATTGCCTTGACACAATAACCTCTAGCTCATAAAAACTTAGATCTTATGACATTTTTGAATAGTGGCAAAAACAAAACAAAATTGCTTGGGAGTGTTTTCATCTCAAAAGCCTCCCCTTGAGCATTTCCCCATGAAAAGTAAAAAGCACGCTTGCTTTTATTAAGCCTGTTCATTAATCCACATCATTGAGATGCTACCCCCCACCACCAGTGTGTTTCTGTGTGCATGTAAATGCTTCAAAATCATCCACAGTCATTCCCACTAGAGGTGGTTTCAGTGTACCCAGGCAAGAGCAAAGGCTCCATGCTGAACTCCTAGTGTGAAATGAGTCATTTGTTCCAAACCATGTTTTCTTTTCTCAATATTCATACTTAGTTATTCATTTCCCTAAAGTACATGAAGATGAGATGTTCCTAAGTTACCTTCTATTTGCTCTCAGTACATATACTATTTTATTCATATTTCTTATCTCCCTTTTCCAGCCTTTTCCATGATCTCAGTGGGCTTTGATTTAGGACCTCATAGGCACAGGCAACAAAGTCCATACTTTGAGGAAGATACCATTTAAGTTGTTTCCCCTTGCAAGATCTTTTGAGACCTCAGCCCCCATTTGCACTGGAGACAGCACCTGCAAGGGCTTGATTGCTAAGCACTCATTACCATGAGGAACAAAGTTGAAATGACTTTTAGGCTGCAGAAGATAATCTATTATGGAAATGTTCATATTATTCAATAAATATGCAAGATGTGAAAATTAAATGTTTGCAAGCTTCCTGTTAGCTACCCATCAGGACAGTCCAAGGAACTGATTGGTGCATATATCCATTTATGTACACGTTTCACCTTTCACATTACTTTACAGCCATAACAGAAAATCATAGCAAACTGTTTTCTTTTTCTATACTCCGGGTCATGCATGATTTTTTGTTGTATTTTTTGACATCTCCATGTCTCCATACCAGTCATTATCTTTGGGCTATTTTTTCCCATCAAAATCGTTCCATCAGCTTCCCCTCTCCCTTTAAAATTGTTCATTGTAAATTTAGTTTATTATTAATTCTTTTTTGCTTATTCAGTGCTACCTTTGAGTACTGGAAAAAAGTAATTTCTCTATCAAGAAAATTCACAAACAGCATCTATCACAAGAAATTTACACACCTTCTTGAACAAGCTCAGTGCCATTAAGGAAAGAAATCAATGTAAAGACACAAAACCTAATCTAATCTACTGTAGCACATACTCTGCTGAGGGCACTCTGGATGACCTCTTCCCTTCACCTTCATCACCGTATGTATATTCTTGATTATTCATCAAAACTGGACACAGTATTCCAGGGTGCGGCCTCACCAGCGCCGAGTACAGGGGGACAATCACCTCCCTGCTCCTGCTGGCCACACTGTTCCTGATACAAGCCAGGATACTGTTGGCCTTCTTGGCCACCTGGGCACACTGCTGGCTCATGTTTCTGCCTTCAGTATTGCTAGTGGATTTTTATCTGTTTACTGAGTCACAACCAAAAATATGAAGGGCTGAACTGAAGTCCATCCAAGCCAGCACACAGACTTGCCCTGATTTCAGTGAGTTTTGTATCAAACTCTACATTCAACAGTGAGCAACCTCCTCCCAATCTTCTGCTTGTACATTACCTCTCCCCCCTACCCTCAATGCTAAGAAAATGTCTTCAAATGCTTCAGAATTTCATGTGAATTTCACCGCATCATCTATTGGAGATTATGCAGGGCGCAGTATATTAGAGATGGAAGAAATCCACTTTTATTTGTTGAGCACCAAATATCAGAAAATGTAATTCACCAACATACTTAAAGCTATGTAAGAGAGAAGGCTACACAAGCAGCTTACAGAAAAACCTCTTGTTGGAAGGGGAGATGGAGAGGGGAAGAAGGGAGCTCTCTGTCCCCAGTCCCTGTGTCTCAGCAGAAGTATTTATAGACTGACAGAGCTGTTACACAATTCCAGGACCTGGCTTAGCAGAGACATAAGTAGTGCCCAAAGAGGTCAAGTACAGCAGCAGAGGTAAAATGCATCAAGATTAACTTAAACTTAACTTTGTAACTGCAGCCCATAAAGATATCAAGCAACTAAAATACTATTTTATTGCCTCTTCCCTGGGAAGTGGACAGTAGGAACCTGGCGATGTTCAGAAGCTCATGGGGCTGGACTACACCAGCAACACGGACTGGGTTTGATTTGGCATGACTTGCCAGAGATTGGCTCTCGATTTCTTCCACTCATCCAGGTAGACCAAGGAGCAACACATCACTGGGTGACTAAGCAGGTGCCAATAGCTGTCAGTAATGGACCCCCTGCTTGTAATTCCAAACTGGCAAAGACCATCCCAGGTGATCTTAACCTCAGCTGGGCTCTGCAATTCACCCCATGGGAAAGCGTTGCCAATCTTTAACTTGCATCCCATCACGGATTATCAGAAGGGTGCTTGTAACTGTCAAAAAATGACTAAACCCAAATATACCACCTTCTCAAAACCACCAAGACTCACTCCAGAAAAGGAAGGGGGGGAAAAAAAAAAATCTAAGGAAAGAGATCAATTAAAGTTGCTTCTCAAAGGAAGATGTTGCAGGAATGTGGCAATCCTCCTGCCATCCTATAAACAAACTTTCAAAAGTCAACTGGTGACACTTTAGAGTCTTTACACTTATTCTGGATTACGTGTTGCTGTCATCTTCGTCCCTGGGTGTTAAGTGCTAAGCACTGGGGGGGTCCCTCCACCCCAGCAGCTGGGAGACAGGCTGCTGTTCTTACCTGACGTTGTCATGCTTCTGGATGTAGATCTTATGAAACATCATATCTTCCTGTTTGGCATTAATGTCAGCTTTCATCTCCATGGCAACATGTCGAGGAAGCACAGAGAGCAGGAGACGCTCCTGTGGAGTCAGACAGATGAACCAATTAAAACACCTGCTGCCCAGTTAACAAACACACTTTGCTCCTTACTGGGGAGAAATGAGTCATCAGTTTGGTGAGAGATGAGTACAACCAAGCGAAACAGTCTCCATAAACCCAGCAGCTGATCCCCTAACAAGTCATATGCAATTCTGTCCCAACCCCACAATAAGAATTCAATGATTTTAGAAGAAAATTACGATTTTTCATCCCAGCTCCAGTGGGCTTGTGATTTGTGGTCGCCGGTTCTTGCAAATGAAGGAGCCATGCAATTCAAAAAGTGCCTGTGCACCATTTGTGGAAAGACTGATAAAATGATACTGTCTGACCTCCCACACAGCCTCTCCACATGACCATGAAGTCCTCCTTCATATAATACCAGAGGACTGATACCCCAACACCCTTGGGCACCATTTAAAATTCCTTCCTTTCCTATCTAATCATCTAAGCACATTCCCCCAACAGGCACAAACCTGTTCTTAGCAGCTAAAAAGTCAATAGGAACGCCCTGATAAAACTAGCATGAAAAGTTAGCCCAACTATACAATGCAGTATTACACTTCTACATTTAAAACTGCTATTAGTGCTCAATTGCATTAAGACCTGTAAACCCACCCACTCACCTACAAGAGTATTTTCAATAACCACCTCTGTCATCAACAATTCATGGCTCTCTACCCTCACCTGGCACTTTTATTTACTGATAATAGCTTTAGTGTGACTTTCATAACATTATTTTGTAAGCTGTTCCGAATATAGTTTTGCATGTTAGGCAAAAATTAGTTACATGACAAAATGAGGACTTTCTGGCAATTTTCCTAAAAACTCACACAAAAGCCTGTGCTTGTTATTATTCTAAATTTGGTGGCGATTTCATGCAGAAGCTATAGAATTTAAATCTGCAGGTAATATGCACCCCAGGGATGCATTTGTGTATTTCAGGAATCACACCTGAGAAATTCTGCCCAGACCTTTATTTTATTCCCACTCACAGTCTGCTCAGTTCAAAAGAAGTTTTTGCTACAGCCGAAGAAGGTGGGGAGCGTCTCCTTTGAGAGTGGCTCCACTGTGGTCCAACCTGCAGGCAGTGCTCTGGAATAGCTGAAGAATCCCAAAAGCTTGTGCTGCTCTCATCTTTATTATTTTTCTTTACCTGCAGTGAGCAGAGGAAAGAAAAGGGCCTTCCTTCCTGACGACACAGACGCAATATGGCATAAACGAAGGTCCCTAACCTTATCTAACAGCTCATTAATTCTCAACAACACAGGGAACAGTAGGGCTCAAACGCAGTCCTGACTCAGAGGGGTCAGCAATCCTGTACTAATTACTCACGTCACCAAACCTCTTGCCCATACTATAGTTATAGGCACATTCCTAATTTTTAATTCCTAGTTTTGACTGAAAGTTCCCCATTCATTTCTTCCTCTAAGGAGAGAGATGAACTTTGGGGGAACCAGAGGAAGATGAATTCACTGCAAATGTGCTCAGCATGCAGTGAGACATTTTATAGTCTGCGGCACTGCCCAGTATTTCCTTTTTTTCCACTTCAATGAGTACCTTAAAGAGATTGATTCTTGCCTCCAGTCTCTGAAGAGGTAGTAATAACACAGAATAAGATGTGTTGGAGGGACTTCCATCTCCTCTGCTCAAAACTGCGGTAGTCCTGACAAGATACCAGTTTTTTAAAGTACTCTCACCTTCACTAGCATACTGTAGGTGCTAACAGTTACATATCCACATCTTTTTTTAAAAAAGATCATGAATCATGCACATGTCCTCAGGCTTCTGCCAGCTATTAGTGTACTCCTTGAGCACAAAAGCACAACACATTTGTATGCTTTCCAGAGTAACTGGTGTATATGCTGTTGTCATTTGCATATTATAATAGGCATCCTCAAATGTGTGAAAGCTGCTATTTTTTGTGTGATTTTACACATCCTCTAAATAACTCGGAGCTTAATGGGAGGTTCAGGGGCACCCACCGGTTTGGCACATTCCCTGTAGGCGCACAAGCATGGAGGGATGTTCCTTTTTTTATTTGCTTGCAAAACGGGGACACATTCAGGGGACTGAATTTCTCTTACTAGTACTCCAAGAGATTTTCACATACATTTCTGGGTAACTTTTGCTTGAGAGCCCCCACCCCTACTCTTCCTGACACCACAGGCACTTGCCAGACTAAATCACCCATATTTTCAAGACACCTGAGATCTCCAGGAGATGAACTAACACCACTCTGAACTACCACTGACTGGGGAATAAGATAAGCTTATCAAGTGAAACAAATGCATGTAGTACCACATCCCTTCATGCAGCAACTAATTAGGAAGGTGAGCCATGTCACAGAGTTGGGCATTATCTTTATTCTGTTTGTTGGGATCACTGAAAATAACCTCTGATGCTAACAGGAGGAGGCTGTAACAGGTGCCTTTGTAAAGCACAAGCCACGTTAAAAGACCTTCAAAACAACAAAATCCCTACATTTTATTTCAAATGGAGCATGGAAATTAAAAGTCTCTGTTAGAGTACAATTTTCATTTTGCTATAATGACTAGAAAGTACTGCAGCCCTCACTGTAACATCACTTATTATGCACCAGTGAGGTGACTGGGACTGCTGTTTTACAAGTATAACAAGGCAGCATTCCGACCTGATAAAAAAAGCAAGAGCAAATTCATATATAATTCTCACTTCAAAATAAGATGCAAGTATAGTTCCACTGAATCATACATTAAACAAATGCATCCTGAGGAGCACTAGTCTCTAGAATACGCACAGATGAAAGAGTACAATACCGATCTACTCTGTTTACGTACGTACACATAGATATATGTATACGTGGGCACACACATCCCTACAACTCTGTACTACATAGGAATTTTAACTATTTATGTCATACTCTCCCAAGATGACCTCAAAGCACTACAAATATTTAATGTCTTATGACTATTCATTTGTCCTCAGGTTTAATAACACTTATTTGTCACCACAAGTTAAGTGATGCAGAGATGAGAAAGAGGAGGGAACAACTTTTCAGAGACAAAAGACAAGCAATGCTAGAAGTAAAACTGTGCAGTCCCGATAACCCATCTCTTACTCAAATCCAAAGTATTTGCTCACTACAGATTGTGGAGAACACCTATTTTTTCATCCAAGAGTATTTTATTCTGGGCAAGCAACAGCGATTTCTGTTATGGCTCTGCCCTAGGTTATCTCAAATAATGAAATCACAAGAAGTGTCTCTTCTGCATTGGACATTCTGGATTTTTATTTACTTTATTGCTAATTTTGGGTGCTAGGAGATGCTTAATAAAGGAAAATCCACATTTCTTTGCTGGAGACAATCTCCCCACCTTTAATAGAGAACAGCACACAGGAGCACCATCAGATCTCCAGAAACAGGCAAGCAAAGGTAACAGTGTTGGGCTGTGCAGTTGTCTTTCCCTCCATCCCTGTTTGGAGACCGGCTCTCCCAGAAGCGGGCTGAGCTGCCTTTATTTGTGTCTGCCGTCACCTCAAGATTATCTCAATGCATTATGCATAGGGATGCATCTGAACTGAACCTGGACATCCACGTCAGCGCAGGCTGTAGCAGCAAATATTCTTATTAGGAGTCCCCAGGACCCACAGCTACTGCTGGAAGTACTAGAAGGTACTTCTAAGTGACTGGCTTTGACTCATGTTTTTCTGATGTCCTGGCTTTCTTCCGTATAGTAGAGTACTTTCTGGGGAGGGGGAGAAGAAAAAGGCATAAAGTTAGGGCATTTGTCAGGGCCTTTTTCATGAACTGCTTCTGACACAGAAGCTCCTAAACCCAGAACAGCACAAGCATTTGAGCCATGCTGCTAAGGCAGTCTCTCAGCAGGGAGGACAGAGCTGTAATCAATACGTAAAATGGGGTACTCTCTTGGCTCAATCCTTTCCTCCATTTCAAGGTGCAGAAGGAGGAGCAGCAACTCATTTTACTTTTCTGAGACTACATTCGTCACAAAGGAAAAAGGAGCCTTGAGCATGAATCTCCTTTTCATACGTATATTATCAAAATAAAGCATGTGTACACATCATTTCACAGTGGGTTAAACAGCAGGTACGTCAGCCAGAAGTACCTCACGAAACACTGCTGAAAGACAAATCCATAGATGCAGATGCACTGAGACATGAGGGAAAATTAAGCTGTGTCGCCACAGAGCTGCAAAGACACTCCAGTTGATTCATTCCCCTGACCTCTTCCCTAAACCCACAACCAAGCTCTGAGATACCTCCCAAGGAAGTGTGGAAGCCCCGTTCCATGACTCATTTCAAATTGGACTGGACAGACCACTATGAGATGTACTGCTGGGCAGAGATGTGTGTTAGCCGGGGAATAGTCAAGCTGTCCCAAAAGGTCTTTTGTATCTAATTCTGAGGACACAAGACATTCATTGCAAAAGAACCCACGAGTGAATGAGGGGAGCGGATACATTTGGTACCCTTGATGATTAGGCTGTATGCTGGCAGCAACAGGTCTTTTTATAACAAAAAAACATTCAAGTTGGTGATGAATCTTACTTTTTGAAAAAATACAATTCACTTGAGGCCTGTAAGGTATACAGAGGTGTGCAAGCAGGTAGGAACCTTCAGGAAAGGCAGGAAGAGGACCCTCTTTGTAGGCATCAAGGGACAGTACGTTCTGTGGACCAGTTTCTACCTTTCACTTCTGAAACCTGCCTTACAGCTACCTGTTGGCAGTGCCTTTGCTGACAAACACACCACGCTTTGACCTTACAAAGAGGGTCAGTCTGAAGCCTGTATATTGCATCTGCATTCAACACATGGCTTCAATGATGGGTGCAAAAAAACTATGCGGACTCTCTGTGTACTGTGTAATTTTAATCCACTGAGCATAGACCACAGGATTTGTTGTTGTCTGCAGAGAAGTCCATCAGGGTATTGGGGAAGAAATACTCCCCTGAGCTCTCTTTCAAACCTTTAAAAATCCTGTCCTCTACCATAAGCCTATTCTTGCTTGGATTAGTCAAGAAGCAAGAGGCCTGCAAATCCCACCCTACAGGAACAATTTGCATGCTAATTTTGCTTCAGCAATTTCATTTTTTATTTCCCACTCTTGCACTTACCTGCTGCTGGTTTTCCCTTTGAGAATGCAGCCTGGCTTGTATGCATTCCCTGGTCTCCTGGAAAGCCTGTCTTTGGGACACCTCTGCTGGGTAGTGGGTACACACGCCTACAATGTTTGTACAGGAGAAGATGAGAATGTTGGAGACCAGCTGCAACAAAAGAAAAAAAAAAAAAAGAAAAATACTTGGTTACACTTTGGAAATCTGCCATCAGTAGAAAGCACCAGCCAGAACCCAGCCCTTTCCATGACTCCTTAATCCAAGCCACGCTTAAACCTCAAGCTCTTAATTCCAGTGTATTTTACCTCTCTAGTCTTTAAAATACAAAACTTCCATATTTGGCCTCAAATATATGTTCTTAACACTGTGTATTACTTCACTGGTAAAAAATACAAATCAACTGCTAATTCTGTAATCTTGCTTTTGAGACAAAAATCTATCTAAAAATGCATCATTGCTCTGTCAGCTAAGACCGTGCAGACAGATCTGACAGAGGAACACAAATATTTCCATGTTTGTGTACCTACATATCTGGCTTGAAAACATATCAAAGATACATTAAACCATTATTTTGAAATAGCACTTAAAATACTGAAGGGAAAAGTGTTGGTATTCACAAGGTTTAAGAGCAACTGAAATATTTTTTTAAAATCTAGTTCCAACTCAAAATTTTATGTTACTAGATAAAAAAAAATACATTTTTTTACATTTCTGTTAACATGACTACAGAAAGAGTTGTTAAGTCTGAAGCATATTTGGACTGGACAAGCATGAAGGAAAAGCTACATAGCTCATCTGCTTTGTCAGGAAGCAGTCACATAACTTTTGCTGAAAACTAGTGTTGCAATCTTTTATTTCCTAACTAATTTTTAATAAAAAGGAAAAAAAAAAAGATCCACACCCATTGGTGGCATTTGGTTCATGCAAAATGTTCAAAACTGCTTCTGATGGTATCATGTAAACATTTGCCTTGACAGACATCAGCCACAGTATAACTTTTCGAGAGTTGCACAAGCTGTACTCGTTCTCCCTTTGAGGACAGTCTTTTTTGAAACACCTCTTATCTCTTCTAGGGGGAAAGACTGTCAGACCTGCAAGATTCTTAAAAATAAGGATCTTTGGTCTATTCCCTAATGAGTCCAAATATACCCTTTGCCTTTATTACTTTTTTACTGCAGAATAAAAAAAGTAATTTCCAGACCAGCCCATTCTCTGAAAATACGGGGCCAGGCTCTGAAGGACAGGAGGGGTGCAGGGCACCCCTCAAGGCCTGAGCTCACAGGGCATGCTCAGGACACCCCAAACCAACTCGGTCACTGTGCACTAGAGAGGAGCCACCCCTGTGTCAAACATGGACCCACATCCTGAAGAGTAATAACCTCTCCGAGAAACTCCACTGGGATTACTCTAACTCTTTGACTACACCCATGCGCTATGGACACCAACAATTATTTTATGAGCAACTCTGCCTTGAAACAGGATTTAGGCAGAAAAACCTCATCTTTCAGCTCAAAATAAGCAATACCTTAAGCTACATCCAGCTGAAGGACTTCGCTCTGTGGACAGCTGCCAGTAGATGGCAACACGCCAACTTCCCAAGCTCCTGCATCAAAATGATGCATTTTGGGCTACATCCCCGCAGTGAATTCCCACACGTATGTATCATACTATAATACAATAACCTGCAGGTTATAGACACCCACTTGTGATTATCATCAATGCCAGCTATATGTGTTTGCAGATAACTGGTTTCCAAGGAGGAAACTATTCTCATCCCCTACAGATTGCTCCCTCCATCCAAAGGGTCCGCACTTCAGACAAATATAGGGCTAACAAAGGTGCAGGTCATATACATGAGCATGAAATAAACCCTGATCCTAAACTCACACATTCCCTTCACAATTATTCTCTTATTCAGCTCTTTCTAAGGCTGGCTGGATCCTGCCAGATCCAAGGTCCTCCATCTCTCCCCCAAGCCGATCAGACACCAGCCAGCTTCCACCCAGATCCTGCCCAGTTACCCCAACCCAGTGCTGCATCCAATGGGCATTTGATGGTATTTTTTTGCTGATAATGATAATTTTTAAGGGTGAAAAGTCCCCCCATAGTATAAAAAAACCCACTAGTGCTTATTATAATGAAGAAACAATTTAAAAAGAGAGAAGAAATAGGGTTTTCCTAGGAATTACTCTGATTCCTGCTCCACAGCTGCACTGATTGTGACTCACAGCCTGTGAACAACACTCCTACAAGTTCAATACAGTTACTACGTGCTCAAAGGGCTTAACAGTAAATGGCATCTTTTGCATGGCCAGATTACAGCAAGACTCCCAAATCCTCTCTATTGGAGCTATTCAGCTGAGTGCTTAAGTGGAAAATTTGTCAGGCCATATAAAACAGCATAAGCACATATCGTCTATCTGAAATGGATAAAACTGAGAGCACAGAAGATTTTAAGGAAATAGGCAGTTTTCTTTTTTAATCCCAAGAATCTGAGACTTCATTTCACTTACGGTCAATAGCGCAAACCCAAAACAAACTCCCCAAAACAGTGACTCAACTCTTGCACCAAGAACAGGAGCCAACATGTCATTTAGATGGCAGGCAACACATCAGGAGTTAACTGAGCAGAAAAGAGGAACACCTCAGTCCTGAAAACAAGCTCTTTTTGGGTATATCTCGGTGCCAACAAAAAGTCCACCCAGCGGGGCCCACCCATGAAGATACTGTTGTCGTGATGATGCCTTAAATAGCCAAGCTGTACCGTTCAAGGCACGCAGTTCATATTGTGCATCGAGACCAACATTGTCAAGAGAGTACACAAAACATCATCAGACTTGACATTATTGATAACATTTGTGGAACACAAAGCAATTTAACTTTTCAGCACTCACTGACGTAATTTTACACAAACCCAAGGGACTTCACAAACTGATTTACAAGACAGACTCAGATGACCATGCTTCATCAAGTAGGAACAAAAACTATATTGCAATGTAATTTTTAAGTAGCAGAGGACAGACATCCATATTTATTCTGTTAAACAGAAGCTCATTTAACTCACAGTATGACATCTTTGCAACACCCTGAAACATAAGGGGAGAAATTACAGTGTAATGTTGAAAGTATCAAAGATCTGCAGAGATTTAAAACTGAAGCTCCTACTATTTGTAGTAACACTTGTTATGTGAGCAAGAGCATTTTGTACAGTATCTGCTCATAATAATTTTCTTCACAGGTATTTTAAAATGTATAAAAGCAAAAAAAAAAAAAAAAGAAAAACTATTTCTGATCTGATTAATTTTTTTCACAGTCCTCTGTCTTAATAAAATAAATTTATATCTTGTTTGCCAAATGGTACTACTTGCTTATCAGCTTCCTTGCCATTTTGCTATGGTAACCAGCTTCAGTCCCAGGAGGAAAGAGATGATGTAGATATTAAAAAACTGATTCCCTAAGCTCCGTGGCCTGAAAAGTAAAAACATATTATGGCAACTATTTCAGACAATCTGTGCTTGAAGAACTGTTCAAGGCAATGGGAAAATATAGTTGTCTATTTTGTAGTTGATTTCCCTCCCCTGCCTAGCTAGAGATTTAGACGAAGAAGATTCCTACCTTTCTGATTTTGGAAAATAATAGTTCATAAAAGACTATTTCACTTACATAGAACTCCTAGGTAAGCTATTAAACCTGCCTGCAGTATTGCCATATTTGAGTATTTCATAAACTAATATGTTTACTCTTACAGCATCTGCATGTGGCAGAGAAATGCCATTATCCTGATGTTACTGAGGTAGAGTTCTTTAAAGGTAATTCAGTACCTAAGGAAAAGCTATGTACTATGAAGGGTTTTCAAAAACCATTGCAACTGCTTAGTTCCACTGAAATAATAGATCACTCAATCTCAGACAACAAAACAGACCAGACAGTTTGTAGTCACTTTGATTTCATCACACAAATAGAACACTGCAATGCTTTTGTTGAATCTCTTGTAGGAAACTGTTTTCAATATTTTTTCCCTTGGTGACTGAAGGAAAAAAAGGGATGGAAACATTTTAGTTCCACGTGTTCTAGGAGTTATGAAAACCTGGTATTAGAAAATCAAGATCAACAGCTATATTTGGCCTGACAATAGTGTTACAAAATTGATGTTTTGGGCATTTCAGGCCACGCTGAGGAAGAACCAGGATGGCTCAGTGACCAGGGGAGAGCCTCCAGACCACCATAAGCAGAAAAAGTATCAGCTTGCGTCAATATTGCCACGCTTCTCCCTGCTGTGTTTCTATTCAATTGTTCTTCAAACACCAGATGCTATTCAATATGTAATTAAGAGACAACAACATGCTTAAGAGGGATAGAGTCGAGAGAAATTTTGTTAGTTCCCTACCTCTGCCAGAGCAAACAAGGCCAGCTACTGACATGAGAAGGTGGGCCATATTCCTCAGAATATCACCACTTATTATAAAAATCATAGCTTCTGGTTTTTGCCAAATTACTCTGCTTTGGTCCACTTCTCTTGCAGAGGCTCAGGATTATTTCTGTTCTGAGATCACAGCCCTAGGCTATTCTCTGTTAGTTTCCAACGCCACTAAGCAGTATTTTGGTTTTCTATTTATTTTTCATTTAAATTGAAATATTGTTTTGATATTTTCATAAAGTCCCATTTTGAAAACAACTACATTTTAAGCTTTTACTGTGGGGCAGTAAAACTGTCACAAGGAGAAGGAAAGCACAGACATGGAGATGAAAAAGTCATGCAAAACTATCTAGAGCAAACAACAAACTACGTATCCCTTCTTTCCAGAGTGTGACACTGCTCTGCCTCTGCTTTCTATCTCACATGATACTCATCCAGTAGCAAATTTTTTGTTAAATCTATTATCAGTGCAACAGCTAGGTTAAAAGCAGATAACAACTGAGTTTCTAGATTACATTTCATAGTGGTTGTATAACGAATTGACAAATTAGTCCCATTATTAATTGCAGGGGCAGACACTGAAATTAGCTTTAGAGAGTCCCTTTTTTTAACCGTGAAAAACTATTATAAAATCTTTAATACTTATCTGAAACAACCTAAGAACAAAAATACGATGGACTACAAAAGCTCTAACTATCCAAGATATTTCTATAGGACCTATGTGTGCAATCCTGAATTGGAAGTACGGATAAATTCTAAAGATAAAA